CCTGCACTATCACCAGCAAATCCGGCGTCTACCCAGGCTGAGTATCCCCCTTCGATATTGGCTACATGCTCAAATCCCTATCCCACATAATTAGTATTTAAGTTAATTAGTATGTTCTGATAAACAAACCAATAGACTATTATTAATTACTTGTGCAAACTTTTTATGCCAAGAATAATTTACGTACTTCATGCTGCAGATCAATTGTTGCTTTCTTGCCTCTACCACCACTGTTGCAAGCCTGAGCCGAAACCGTGATCGTCATTAACACACTATTTTATAACTTAGATAATAATTCAAGAAAAAGATTAATCTGATCTGTAATACGAAGTTGTAAATGGCATATTCTCAATCACTGAGATAATCCGTCACAGAAAAAATAAAATAAAATTAATGTATGGTCCAAAATTGACCAGAGTACTTTTTGTCACAAAATTCCCAATGTTATGGAGTACTTCCTATCTTTCAATCAATTTTAGGCCTAGTTGCAAATTGAATGTCTTACCGCAACCAAGTGATCATCCTTCTTGCAAACTTCTAGAACTTGTGAAATGAAATCAGGATTCTTCACTCGCCCTGTCATACAAAATACATCACGATGCATACATCAATTAAACAGTTTTAAATATTTATTCTATTCGTAATTTGCCATGCCTACATTACCATGGTGAGCAGGTTGTGTTCATGTTTAATTTCGAGCCAATGTATTTGAAATATATCTAAAAAAAATGTAAAATGTAATACGGAGTATCCATTGATCAAGAGGTATTCTAACTTAAAATTCTTAATAATTTGTTTGGTTTTGAGTAAATTGACGTTCCTAACTAGCTTTTATATATACATACATAGAGTTTAGAGAGAGAAGAATAATAAAATTATATTATACAAGTATGTTAAATATAGAATTAATTAATTAAATTAAAAAAGATTTAGACAGTGATATAACATGCATCCGAGTTTATTTGCTCCAAATTTAGCTTAGCAAAAGAAACTTCAAGGAACATGTCAGAAAAAAAAATTTAATGAAGAAACTTTAAAGAAACGTATCTAAATTAAACCTATAGTGCTTAATTACTTTGGTTCTAGAACTTGTTCTTAGTCAACATGATGATTTAATTGGACATTAAAATTGGAACTAATATTTTTCAGTTATTATTTTGCCGACTAATGTGAATAAACTAGAAGTATGTTATATCACTGTCTAATGCTATTGACTGATTTTCAGCATGAAACGTTTTTTTAATCACATGGGTATTGGCTAATTACACGTTAATACACGAAGTTTCGAAACCTATAACTGAAAATGTACTCATCAATTCCTAAGAAGATAGGTATCCATCCCCTCATAAATACCAAGGTACAAATGACCTGAAAACCAATATCAAAATTGACATATTGTTAACGATAAATACTAGTGATCACTAATGGGTAGGTTTGGAGATGACCCGAGTTGTTGCATGTCCTACATTTGGTGTGTGTTTTTTTTTTTTCTTCCGAAAGATGATGAGTATGTAATGAATGAATTGAACAATTGTTGTCATTGTTAATATGCACAATTTTGCGCTATTTATATGCTTAGTTTTGACCATTAATTTTTTTTTTATTTTATTTTTTAAAATAAGGGGTACATAATTAACAAATGTTATCATGTAAATTTTGTTGAAGTAGTCTCAAATTTTCAATGCATTTTTGCAAAATATTATCTTTTTTATAAAAATTTTATTAAAAAATAATTAAAAAGATATATTGATTTTCTAGATAGTTGTTTGTCCAAAAATGTAAAACTCAAATTGTTGCGAATAAATTTGAACCAATGAGTATGAGTGTATGACCCAACTTGAACAAAACCAACATGACGATTGGCGAATCACTTGTTTTTACAGCTTAATCAAAATAGAGCCTTAAACCTTAATTGTTTGATCCACCGTTAACTAAATCTACATACCAAGCTATATGTTGATGTCTTTTCTTTAGATAAGATCCCTTGGCTTCTTGTAATGTTTTTTCGATTGAAATTAGAATTTGTGTACTTTCTAATAAGTTTGATAAATTAGAGAGCTATACAACCCCCTTGTTTTTAATTGTCGTTCTAGAGGATGGCAAGAGGAATGAGAATATATAAATTAAAGTGATCTTAATCCTTTATTTTGGTCCTAAAAGTTACTTTATTCTTGTAATATATAGCCCTCTTTAATACAAGTGCTCTTTTATCACGATTATACTTGCTTTGATATCCAAGCAATAATGCATGAGAACACGAATTATAAATTTAAAAAAAAAAAAAAAATACAATGATGATATACATATAGGTATTTGAATTTCCTCAAAAAAAATATATAAGTATTTAAAATGATGTAAGTTGGCTATAATTTTATATTTTATTTATATGTCTCATAAGGTATGTTATAACTCATAGATATTCATTAATGAATTCTAGTAGTGCGTACTTTACTTTTTCAATATAGGAAAATATTATAAGATAGTAACTTGAGTGTTACAAATAGAATGCCAACCTTATGGAGAAAGGGGTTACATGCATATTTTTTAACTAGATTGTGAGTTTTAACTTCAGCCTTGAAAACACCAATCTGTGTTACATTCACCTTATCTTGAAATTTTATAGTCAAAAGAAATTAAAATTCTCATATAAGCACCATTTTTATATTATTCTGGTTTCCTCTCCACATCTATGGATATGTTTGTTATAAACACATAACCAAGTCGTTTTGTTGCTTCATGCTATATAGGTTAACTTTTGATGAGTTTATTCTATGGTACTCCCTAAAGTCCTAAACCAAATAAAGCATTCCAAGAAGGATTTCTGCAAATACTAGTATCAAACTACTCCCCAAGTTTAGTTGGAAGTATAAGGTTGGAGTGTTGGACGTTCTTGATATACAACAAGAGTGTTGGAAGAAAACAAGAGAGAAAGAGACTCACAAATGAAAGGGAAAAAGTCCCACATTGGTTGGGAGGAGAGGTTTTGCCTTGTTTATATGTTGTAGTGTCTTAACATTATTTAGTTGAGTGACTAGGAGGTGGGTGTTGTACCACACACACTCACATAAGCACGTGTGCGCTCTGGTTTGATTGGCTAGCCATTTTTCCTTTGCTGCCTATTTATACTCCGGTTAGTGAGTGCATATAAACTCCGGCGCCGTGCTTATTCTGGAGGGCGACCGCTTCTTGTCTACTGCATCGGGAGGTAGCGCAGAATCGTCTTTTAGGTCAATGGTTCGCCACGTGGCTACTGTCATTTTTAGTTCACGCATCAAGAGATAATTAATTTCTGTTTTATTGCTTATAGTATAACATGGAGTTGATGACATTTCATGAAATTCTCAATAGTGACTGTATGTCACGGTCCGAGTGGTTTGACACCGGATCGTGCGGCGCGCTCTTATCTTTTAGAAACAAGAACGCAAGCCTAGAGTGAGAGAGATTCGTGGGCACACAGCGACACGGACCAAAGGTATCTCAATGAGGCAATCGTTAGTAACGAGTGCAGGGTCGGGGCTTGTGACGGCCGATACTTCGAAGCGGGCACAAGCGGAACCGACAAGGATGTAGGCGTCTTTGAGAGTCTCTTGGTTTGGTGGGGAGCTTTAAAACAAGGCAAGCACAATATCTATAAAGGCTTAAATCAACACACAAGTCTTAAATCAAGGCAACCCGAATAGGAGCTTTTTCATTCATTCAACCATCGCTCCATATAGAGCTTTATATTGTTTACATGGAGAAATACTAGTGAACACTGAAATGATAGTAACACAATAATCTCCTCTAGCGCCTAAACTACTTACACGAATACATTGAAATTTTAACATAAGCTAAATAAAGACATAAGAAAGCAAAATACATGATGAAAGAGGTTGGATCCTAACATCCTCCCCCACTTAAGCTGTCGACGTCCTCGTCGACTTACAAAATATGACTAAGGAGACTAAAGTTCTTGATCCTTAGGTCTCTGCTAAAGAGGTGCTGTGCTGTCTGCTCCTGATGCTGGCTCGGTTGGTGATGTTGCGGCTTGAGTCTTCTTGATCTGGGTGGTAGGGCTTGAGGCGGCTGACGTGAAAGACTGGGTGTATCTTCATCCATGCTGGAGGTTCGACCTTGTACGCATTCTTCCCTATCCGTTTTATGATGCGGATGGGGCCTTCGTATTTTCTGATCAATCTTCGATCTCTTCCTCTCAAAAACTTCAATTGTTCGGGTAACACTTTCACCATCACCATATCCCCAACATCAAACTCCAACGGTCTTCTGTTTTGATTAGCCCACTTCTTTATTCTCCTAGTTGCTCGCTCCAAGTAGGCCCGAGCAATCTCTGTGTTTTGCTCCCACTCCCTTTTGAATTCTCGAGCTTGAGTACTTCGTCCGGCCTCGGTGTCTGCTACTGTGTGAGGCAAGAGAGGTTGTTGGCCCATGGTCAGCTCGAAAGGGCTCTTGTTTGATGAGGAGCTCTTTTGGGCGTTGAAACAAAGCTGAGCTACATCGAGGAGTCTCACCCAATCCTTCTGATTGGCACTGACGAAGTGGCGCAAATATTCTTCAAGTAACCCATTGAATCTCTCCGTCTGCCCATCTGATTGTGGATGATGACTTGATGACATATTGAGTTCTGACCCCATCATCCGAAACAACTCTGACCATAATATGCTTGTGAATCTCGTGTCTCTGTCGCTCACTATACTCTTGGGGAGTCCCCAATACTTCACAACGTGCTTGAAAAATAATGAGGCAGTTTCTTCAGCACCACATGCCTTTTGCATTGGAACGAAGGTAGCATATTTTGAGAATCTATCTACAACCACCATTACTGCGGAGAGCTGGTCCACCTTTGGGAGGCCACTGATGAAGTCCATGGATACACTCTCCCAAGGGCGAGTAGGGATTGGTAACGGTTCCAGGAGCCCACCGGATTTCTGTCGGTCGACCTTGTCTTGTTGACACACCAGACAAGTTCTTGTGTAGTTCATCACGTGCTCTTTCATCCCCGGCTAATAGTATCTTGTGCTCAGTAAGCTGAGTGTCCTTTGCCAACCCGGATGACCTGCCCATAGCGTGTCGTGGCATTCCCTCAAGAGCAGCTTTCTCAAACCACCTGCTCTAGAGATGAAGAGTTTCTTTCCTTTTGTGTAGACAAGTCCGTCTTCCATCCAGAAACGTCTAGTTTTCCCTTCTTCAATCAATTTCTTGATGGTTCCTGTCATCGGATCATCTCCTAAGTAAGCTTTGACTTGATCACGCACAGAGGTAGTGACGTTGCTTGAAGTTAAAGGGGCTAATCTTTGTAGGGGTGCCAGGTCTGCTCGCCTGCTCAGCGCATCTGCTACCCTGTTGCTAGCCCCTGTTCTGTATGCAAACTCTACATCAAACTCAGCTAAGGATTCTTGCCATCGAGCCTGTCTTCCCGTCAACTTAGGCTGAGAGAGAAAGTGGGTTGCAGCAGTATTGTCGGTGCGGACGATGAACTTCGAGCCCAACAAGTAATGTCTCCAGCCCCTAAGGCAGTGCACAATAGCTAGGAGTTCCTTTTCTTGTGCTGCGTACTTCCTTTCCGCACTGTTCAACTTCCGACTCTCGAATGCGATGGGGTGGCCATCTTGGAGTAATACTCCTCCCAAGGCAAAATCGGAAGCGTCTGTCTCTACTTCAAAGGGTTTGTTGGGGTTAGGGAGAGCGAGGACTGGCTCTCTCATTACTGAATCTTTCAATTCCTGAAAAGCTTTTTGCTGTTTCTCTGACCATTCCCAACGACGATCCTTCTGCAAGAGGTCGGTGAGGGGACTGGCTAACTCGGAGTATCCCTTGATAAACCTGCGGTAATAATTTGCCAAGCCTAGAAAGGACCGAAGCTCGGAAGTGTTCCTTGGATCTTTCCAATCCTGAATTGCTTGTATCTTCTTTGGATTCATCCTTATGCGGCCTTTACCTACAAAGTGTCCCAAGAACCCAACTTCTTCTTGGGCGAAAGCACATTTTTCTTGCTTGACGAACATATGATGTTTTTGCAGCTTCTCAAACACCTTTCTCAAGTGGTCGAGGTGTTCTTCAAAGGTCTTGCTATAAATTACAATGTCATCCAGGTACACCACTACAAACTTGTCGAGAAATTCATGGAACACCTGATTCATCAAGGTGTAGAAGGTTGCGGGGGCATTGGTCAACCCAAACGGCATAACTAGCCACTCAAATGCTCCATATCTCGTTACACATGCGGTCTTCGGTTCATCTCCTTGAGCAATGCGAACCTGGTGGTAGCCAGATTTCAGATCCAACTTCGTGAAGAACACTGCATCCCCTAGTTGATCGAACAAGTCCGCCACCAACGGAATGGGGTAATGATTCCGCACTGTGACCTTGTTGAGGGCTCGATAGTCTATGCACAATCGGAGGCTCCCATCTTGTTTCTTCTGGAAGAGCACGGGAGCTCCATAAGGAGCTTTCGAGGGGCGGATGAATCCTGACTCTAGTAAGTCTTCCAGTTGCTTTCTAAGTTCCGCTAGCTCGGGAGGGGCCATACGGTAAGGGCCTCGAGCAGGGGGCCTCGAACCAGGAACAAGTTCAATCTCGTGATCCACAGCCCTCCTAGGAGGAAGCCATTTGGGAGCTCTTTGGGGAGGAGGTCCTCAAATTCCGTGAGAAGCTTATCTAAAGCTGCGGGGATTTCATGAGGGGCTTCATCTTCTTTCACTGATAGAGTAGCAAGGAATGTGGGTTCGTTCCTTTTCAACCCCTTTTTTAGTTGCATTGCCGAAAGGAGGGGGCCTTTAGACCCTTTTCTCATCTTGCAAGTCTTGAGGAGGCAAGGATGTTGTCCAGCTACTAATACTGACCCCAGGTGGGGCATCGGGACAGCTTTACTTGCACGTAGGAAGTCCATACCGAGTACAAGGTTAAAGTCATCCATAGTGGCTATAGTGAAATCCAGGTTTCCGCTCCAGTCCCCCAGCTTTGTTGGGATGTTCCTTGCAACCCCATGAACTGGCTTGGCGGCTGAGTTAACAGCTTTCATACTACCCCCTTCTTGAATCAGCTTCAGCCCCAATCTTCGAGCTTCTCCTTGGGATATGAAGTTATGGGTGGCCCCGGTGTCAATCATCGCATTGCCCCTCCTCCCATTCACCAACACTTCTACATACATCAACTCAGTGTTTTTAGACCTCTCCTCGGGCTCTTCCTTTCCCATGGCGTACAACATGTGCACCGCCCCCAGCCTTGAGGGCTCTTCCTCATCGGGTTCCACCTCGCATGCTTCTTCGGTCTGTTTTGACTCCACCGTCATCGCCGATAACTTCTTTTGGAGACTATCGATTTCTCCCTTATGACGGCATTCGAACCACTTGTGAGGGCCTCGACAGAGGATGCATGTTAGGGGTCTGTTCCCCGTTGAGAAGGTTGATGTGCTTCCCTTACTTGATGAAGAGGAAGCTCCACTCCTTCTAGAGTCGTCCCCCACAATCTTGTTGTACCTACTCCCATCATTGTTTGAGCTAACTTGGGAGGCGGGGTGTTGGCTTCTAGGAGTGCTTTTTGCTTGTCCATTGTTCCCCTTCTTCTGATTAGGGCCCTTATCGGGTGAGTAATCCATTAACTTCTCAGCTGCTGCTATAGCACCAGCTAGAGTGTCTATCTTTTGGCGCCAAATCTCACGTTGCGCCCAATCCTTCAAACCTCGCACAAAGTTGAACAACCGATCCTTCTCTGACATATCTTGGATCTCTAACATGCACACACAATATTCCTTCACATATTCTCGAATGGAAGTCTTGTGGTGTAGGGTGGTTAACTTTGTGCGAGCCACGAACTCGGTGTTATCCGGGCAGAACTGGTTCTTGATCTCCTTCTTGAGATCCTCCCAACTATCAAGCGTGATTCGTTTTGCTTGAATGTCGGCATATTTGGTGCGCCACCACAACTTCGCGTCCTCCACTAAATACATGGTGGCAGTATCCACCTTGAAGGGATCCTCTATTTGACAAATTCGGAAGTATTGTTCCATGTCAAAGATGAAGTTGTCGACTTGCTTCGAATCTCTTGCCCCATCAAAGGTTTGGGGCTTGAGCGGCTTTATCTTTGCACCCCCACTGCCCCCAAAGCCTTGAGGAGCATGCATAGTGGCACACTTGTCGAGTGCCTCATCAGCTAGTGCCTGGACACAATTCAGTTGCTCCAACAGTCCATCTACTGTGGAACGTAGAATGCTGATTTCATTATCATGCTTGATCACAATATCTTCGAGCTTGGGCACCCTTTCTTCTAGGAAGGCCCATTGTTCGGACTTGCCCTCAAGCCAGGCCAGCCGTTGTTCGAAGGTGTATTCGAGATTATCTTCCATCACTGGCGTGCTACTTGAACACGAGTTTAGGCAAAGATGCAGCGTTGGCTTTGATACCAACTGTCACGGTCCAAGTGGTTTGACACCGGATCGTGCGGCGCACTCTTATCTTTTAGAAACAAGAACGCAAGCCTAGAGTGAGAGAGGTTCGTGGGCACACAACGACACGGACCAAAGGTATCTCAATGAGGCAATCGTTAGTAACGAGTGCAGGGTCGGGGCTTGTGACGACCGATACTTCGAAGCGGGCACAAGCGGAACCGACAAGGATGTAGGCGTCTTTGAGAGTCTCTTGGTTTGGTGGGGAGCTTTAAAACAAGGCAAGCACAATATCTATAAAGGCTTAAATCAACACACAAGTCTTAAAGCAAGGCAACCCGAATAGGAGCTTTTTCATTCATTCAACCATCGCTCCATATAGAGCTTTATATTGTTTACATGGAGAAATACTAGTGAACACTGAAATGACAGTAACACAATAATCTCCTCTAGCGCCTAAACTACTTACACGAATACATTGAAATTTTAACATAAGCTAAATAAAGACATAAGAAAGCAAAATACATGATGAAAGAGGTTGGATCCTAACACTGTATCTATAACAAAATTTGAAAGTTATATCACTTATTTATATGTTACAAATTAAATCTAAAAGGGTATTACTCATATAGCTATATTACAAAATTATATCTTATATAGTATATTGATGATTGTAACAGGGGCGAAATCAGGGGTTTTTGGCAAGGGCACCAGCCCTCTATGTGGCTCAAAAATTTAATTGAAGATTAGACATGTATGCAGTGGATTAGTTGAGTCTTAACTTATGGTTCCTAATTTCAGCCTCGGTAATGTATGATTCCTAATTTCGCCTCTGAATTGTAAAAATAATACAAACCTATTGTGTCTCAATTAAAAAAAAAATAAAAATTGGTGGTGTAGAGAGAATGAGAAAGTCCAAGAGTAACATTGGTGTTGGCCGGGTGTCATTTTAGATAGATGTCGATTAAATTGAATCTTAGAAAGTGGAAACTTAAAGTTACTTATGGAATCTAGTTGGCATAAGAAGGATGAACCAGGTAGATATTTCACCTCAAAAGTAAAAAAAAGGTTTGAACTCATTGAAGATATTTGCCATGCCAATTTTCCAAAAAAAAAAAAAAAAACAAAATCCTAAATGTCAAATGATATCCTCTTTCCTTTAATACCTTTTGTTCCCTTATGTTATACGAATTCTCATTCATAGCCACTAATTTATCTTTGTTCTCCAGAAAAAAAAATAACAAGATTAAATTTTGGCCACAAAGAAGAAAAGCACCCAAAAATTAGAAGAAGAAAAATAAAGAGGAGAACGAGAAATTGGATCTCAAGTTTTCATTCTTCTTCTTGGCTTAAATTGCTCCACTTGTCAATTTCCTACTCAACATGTAATGTGAGGCCTATAATTTGAGGACAAAATCCAAAATCTTTGTCCCATTTCTTATGAAGTCTTACGTACGAGCAACAACTTTGTCGTTTATTATTAGTGAAAATTATACTAGCACTATAAGATAACTTCAAAGTTATTGGAATCATGTAAATTTTAACTCGAATTTTGTTCCTGGCCTTCTTGCAAATTCTCAAATTAATCTTGAAGGTGACAATATTTGAAACAAAGTAAATTACGTATTGAAAGTTTGATTAATATAATCTTGATAGAAATAAAAAAAATGAAGAATAAATGGATAACATGATATTTATGGTTTAAGAACACACTTTAAAGGATTAGATGCTATTATATTATTGCTACCATATATTCTTTATACATATATTCCTTTACCCTTTCTTTTTTCTAGGAAATTATGTGAAAAAGTATAGGAAAAATACGCACTGAAATGACAAACAAGAACTATTAACCTTAAAGAATAAAGAAACTTTAATGTTAGAAATATCATTTGCCGACTTGAAGTTTTTTTTTTGTGTGTGTGCTCCTTTCAAATCAAATAATAGCAATATCCTTCCCCAATCTTTCTTTTCAAAAAAAAAAAAAAAAAAAAAAAAAGAAGGCATAACTCTAGCTTTCACATACTTCCATTAGCCACCCATTCACCAAACCTTACAAATAAGAAGAAAATGTTTGTAGTCTATAATATAGGTATAAAATTAAGGCCATACTTGATGATGAAGACAATCTTAGTGAAAGATAAAGATTTTGTTCTAATGTTTACTTAAATTTGGCAATGATAAATCAATCAATATAAAAAACCTTCAAATTAAATTCAGTTTATTAATATGTTATGTATATGCATAATGTATAAAGTGCATAATACATCTAAAACTTAACCATCCATTCCAAATTCACGAGAATTTGGTCATATGCTAATGAGAAGAAGTAAAAGATCATGCATATTTTTATTTGGAATTCTATAAATTGGTTTCTTGAGTGTAATTAAGAGCGTATAAGAATGCTAAACTTTGTTTGTGGAATATGAATCTAGTTTTCAACCCAAATTGAACTAGTTTATATTAGACCATGTCTTATCAGTTAAACCAAAACTTGAAAATCTATGCAAAACTATAAAGATTGAAGGTTTTTGCCAAAATAAACAAATTGGTGGAATCAATTGAGATTGGTTTATTTCAATTTTCCAAAACTTTTGACCTAAATCTGACCAAGTGTTGGTTATGTAATTATGTATGGTTTCAAATTTTAAGTTTTGAGAATCAGATTTTAATACATTCTACCATAATTGTTATTACCATTATTGTAAGTTAATGTTGCATGACTTATACCTATATTGACCCAAGCTTTAAATCAACAAAAAAAAAAATATGCCAAGTAATTCAAAATTTGATTATCACTTTGAAGTAGCTAAGTCAATCAAGGTTAATTATTATAATTTTCAAATAAAAAGTTGAATTGATATATCCGATATCCACATTCGAAGATTAAATAGTATTTAACCATTTTGGGGTTCAATTCATTTCAACTTAGGGAAATGGATTGCACATCAACTTCAATTTGATAAAGGACTTAATATAGTATGCTAGCTGATAACACATTTATATACTCATTTTTATATGTTATATTTGGGTGTTTCTATCATATTTTCTCTCTATATTTAATCTTTTAGAGCTATTTTTCTTTATATTTCGATATTGCTCTCCTCGTGCTTTCTTTCTTTGTTTTGTAGGATTTTATGCCTAGAAGAGCGCATTTGCAAGCTAAGTTGAGTTAGGAGCATCTAGAAGATTATGAGTTTGACATCATATGATCACATTCCAAGCTTGAAGTTGCATTTGCATGAGCATAGTGTGGAAATTGTTTAGCCTTGGCCTGGTTGTGGCTTGTTGCATTAAGCCTTTGGTTGGTCGTGGCCCCTCCGTTTGTGCTAAAGAAAAATACACCAATGTAGTAGACACCACGGGTAGGCCGTGGCTCAACTTCAATGCCCACGGGCAGGTTGTGGCTAGCTTCAATGCTGCGTTTTGGATAAGTTTTTGCCGACTTTGAAGAATCCTAATTCCACTTTACTTCCTTAATGCTAATACTTATATATAGTTTATCTTTAGGGGTTAAGAAAGGGGGTTCTGCCGCAAACAACCATTTACTTGATTAGAAATTTTAGAGTTTGTTATCCTCCTTTAATCTTTTAATTATGTTTGAGTAGTATTTTATTCTAGGGTTAGGTTGAACCCTAGACATGATTGATACTTGAATTATTCTTTAAATCTCAATTAATTGTTTATATTGTTTATGCTTAATTGATTGTGCTTATGCCAATACTAGATTAGGGATAATTGGTATTGTTATTATTCCATTGTCTTGACCGCAACGGAATTTGGATTTTGATGGATTTGAATAGATTAATTAAGGTATGAAATTCTCCACGGAAGTAGGTAGAATGGATTGTTAGGAAGTTAGAGTGTCGGACTTAATGTCTTTAATTTGCATGATTCCACGGAAGTAGGTTTGATTGTTAATTAAGGAAGCCATTGACAAATCGGGAGAGATCTTTGGTATTTTATAGGGTGTGCCTTTCTTTGTGAACATATAATTGATTGACTGGGGTAAGAATTTTTCTTGTATTGATTATGCTAGTGGTGATACTTAATTCTAGATGTTTTTGTTATTTGATTTTCTTTTGTTAGTAATAGTATAATAATTTCAACCCTATATTTATTTGATTCAACTATTATTATTCATAGCAACCCAATATTGATAAAACCTTCTCTATGGGATCGACCCTGACTTACCCTACTACATATTAGGAGGATTAGTTAGGCTTTTATTATTTTTGTGGGTGTGAGACCGCCTATCAAATTTTGGCGCCGTTGCCGAGGAAGGTGACAGATTGATTTGGTTTGCTAAGAATTAATTAGTTTGAGTTTGTAATTATTTTTATTTCTTTTTGTTTATTTATCCCTTGTTCATATTGTCATTTGATCATGGATTGGAATCAACACAATGGTGAGTATTCTTATAATTATCATCAAGATAATAATGATTATATTGCTTGGGATTATCATGTTTCCGATTTTGATGCCTTTTATCAAAATTCCCAAATTTTTTGCAAGTTCTATGATTTTTTCCATGTTAGTCGATCTTATGAGAATTATTATGAGCCCTCTCCTCAATGTGATTCTCGAAACCACTCACAAGAACCCAAATCCTCTCTTGAACTTGCTATTGAAATTTTTTTAGAGGTTTGTGATAGATCTTCTAAGAGTTTTGAAGAATTGGAGAACTAATATCATAAGTCTTATGAGTATCAATGTGATTACCCGTGTTCTCAATTTGATTTTCAATTTTCTTGTGAGCCCCAACCATCTAAATCTAGATTAGAGCTTCTTGTTGAAGAAAGTGCTAAAATAGGCAAGGACATTGAAACTGAATCATCCGAGTCAAGATTAAAGCTTATTTTTGCAAATTTCATTGAGCATGTTAACTCTAGTTTGGTGCAACTAACTGACCAATCAATGAGTTTACAAGCCCAATTGAATTCTATTCAACAATCTCTTGA